CTCCATATTTAAATATATAAATATAATTTTTATGTTGAGCATATGGCTTAGAATGTATAATTTTTGTGTATTAAACTATGAAATTATGTATTAAATTGTAATTAAGCTGTGAATTGACGGTATTAAGATATGAAGTTTTTATGAATTTTGAGTTTGCTTCTGAAATATGAGTTGAAAGAAACATTATGAACAAATATGAGTTTCTCTAATTTTGAATAAAGTATGTAAAACTTAAACTGTGAATATTTTCTAAATTAAACTTTAAAAGATGCATTAGCCTCCAAATATGATGGTCTAAATGTATTTTTTAAGTTGAGAATATAGTTATGAATATATAATTTGTGTAGTTAAGATTTATTATGTTAAACTATTAATTTTGTGTATTAAACTGCGAATTGATTGTATTAAGTTATCAATTGATTGTATTAACTTTGTTTTTTTTTTTTAATTTTACGTAAATTTTTGAATGATTTATATATGCATGTTTCTATTGAATTTCTTTTGAATATATTTATTTTTTGTGATGTATAAATATGTAAGAATATACTATTTTTAATAGTTTTTTTTGCATTAAACTTTAGATGAGTGAACAAATATGTTTATTAAACCGTAAATGTTGTATTTAAGTTGTCAATATATGATTTTATATACAAATGTGATTTGGAAAGAATAATGATTATAATGGTGTCACGGGTGGTTGGTGACGACATGTAGTAGTTGGTGGTAGTAGAGTTTGGGATTGACATCTCTAAATATTTGAATTAGTGTAAAATGGATTGTATTAAGTTATAAATTTTGTGTATTAAACTGTACATAGACTATATTAAATTGTGTATTTTATATAAGTTTTGGGTTAAAATATAGATAAAAGTACGTATGAATATATTAGACTAAAAAACTTATAATTTTGCCCCTTTCTTATCAAAAAGACAAAAAATCATGATTTTAACATACTTAATAAGTATTCACAATATAGATTTAATGAGTATTTATGAAATAAGGGTTCCTAGGGTTCCAAATCTTTATGGTTCTTATTTGAACCACTATATATATATATATATATATATATATATATATATATATATATATATATATATATATATATATATATATATATAAAGAGAGAGAGAGAGAGCTAAGTTCAAATGTGGATTGACATCTATTATGCGGACGTGTGGACAATGCTATTCTGTGAGAATGACAAGGAAAATATATTGTTTGGTAATGTGAATACGTTCAATTTTACATAACTATTGTCATTATCATGCATTCTTACTAATTAAATAGTCTATAAGGTTATTATAGACCTATTTTTTTCAATTATTTTCATTCTGTCAGAATGTTTATTGAGTCGTATTCTGTACGAATCAAAATGAGTAAACAACGATGGTTCCGCCACCACATCAGATCTACTCCACCAGCTCCTCCTCCTCCTCATCCTCCTCATTTGACTCGCTATGTTAGATCTACGAGCTCCAACGAATGACAAGATCTACGATTTTCACCACCATTGAAGTTCAGATGTGTGAGCTTCGGTGAAACATCTTCATCTCGCTTCCTTCTTTTTTTCTCTCGAACTCTATGAAAGACCACCAGTTATTTCATAAGTTCTAAAGCCACTGTTATTAAGTTATGAATCCAAGTTTGTTTTCTTATTTGTAATAATATTTGTATAAAGTATTAAGTTGTGAATCCCCTGTTAGTAAGTTGTGAATGCATGATTTTTTAAAAGTGTTAAGTTGTGGATGTATGATTTTCTTATAAGTATCAAGTTGTGAATGTATGATTTTTCATAAGCTTTAGTTGTGACTGAATGAACTTTTTTATAACTTCTAAGCAGGAAATGCATGAATTTTTATAAGTTTTAATATGAATTTTGAATGTGTTTTTATTATATTCATGCTTTCTCAAATAATATAAATTTAAGGTGTAAGTTGTGATGAATGCCTGAATTGATATCTAATATAACCTCCAAGGCTCCCGACATCATCATATGTAAGTTTTAACATGTGAATGTATTTTATTAAATTGTAAATTTGTGAATTAAACTGCGAATTAAATGAGTTAAAATATGAATGTTTCTTTATTAATTTTCTTGTTAGCAAAATTTTTTGTGGAATAAATATGTAAGAATGTATTCTTTTTTATAATTGTTGCATAAAACTCTAAATTAGTGAATTAATAGGTTTATTAAACTATGAATATACTATTTAAGATGACAATGCATTATTATGCATTTAATTAAACTGTGAATTTATGTATTAAACTATTAATTAAATATATTAAGTTTTGAATTGATTGTATTAAATTGTGATTTTTTTACAAATTTTGTGTTAAAATATGAAATTAATAACTTAACTATTTTGCATAAAATCATAAATTATACAAAAGTTGTGACTTTAAAATGATAAATGCTCACATACAACAGCATCTCTAAACTAACAAGTTAACTATAGTATTTTAAAAAGTTAAAGTCATAATTCTATAAATATAAGTAAAATATGATATTTTAATATTATAGTTTTGTTAATTTATTATTAAAACTTAGTTTTTGCATTAATTTAACATTATTAACCAATTTATAATAATTATTAGAAAAAAAATGAAAAGTCATGAAGGTTTCAAATACATGTTGTGCAAGTAAAAATGTCTCATTTAATATATATATATATATATATATATATATATATAAGCTTTGGGAGTTTCAAATACATGAGGTTCAAGGAAAAATGCTAGTTTTATAATATATATATATATATATATATATATATATATATATATATATATATATAGTCCGATTCCGGTGATGACCCTTTTTAAAGTGATGACACCTTAAAAAAATCTAAAAAAAATACAAATCATAAAATTGAGCATAGTACTATATCCGAGAGAAAAAAATTGGAAAAAAAAAATTTCATCATTAAAATTAAATCATGGATTATAAAAATGGTCCATGCTTCAATTTTGATGATGCAATTTTTTTTTCAAATTTTTTTCTGTCGGATATAGTAGTATGGTCGATTTTATATTTTGTATTTTTTTAGATTTTTTTTCCAATATTTTTAATGTATACTCACGTGTTTTCACTTTAAAAAGAGTCTTCCTCACCCGATCTTCTCTTTTATATATATATATATATATATATATATATATATATATATATATATATATATAGACTGGTTGTTTTGTCTTTAGTGCATACTTCTGTCCTTGTTTATTTTTAATTATAGACCAAGCTTTCATATGAAAAAATATGGATGTAGAAATCACGATCAACTTACTAACAAGTTCTTAAATTCATGAATTTGACTATGTTTCTTCACAAATTGACGACTCATTTGCATAAAAATTAAATGCGAGTATTCATATTAGAAGAGTCTGTTGGTAGAATTTTTTCACTAAAAAAAAATTTTAAAAACTTGAAAGTGTAGTTTTTATTTATATATAAAATGTTTGATGAAAGTAGACCCAAGATTTTAAAATAACTCTAAAATCCTTATTATCAATACAAATTCAATATGTTTGATTAAATACAAACATTTTATTAAAAAATATGTGCCTTCTAGATCCGTTTTATATTAAAAAATTAAATAGTTTTATGCATTTTGTTGCTACTGATATAAAATAATGACATGTGATGAAATAGGTTCCGTCGAGATTCCGAAAAAAATAGAGATTTTAAGATTCAACATCGGCAGTATATTTCTTATTTGCCGCTCTAACGTTTCAGCGTACCGACATAGTGAGAGAGTTATAATTATGAATGATTATTCAGCGCCGTCCGTTCCTTTTTCCCTTGTCACATTCATCACCACCACAACCGCCGCCACTATTTCCACGTCCGTTACATGTACCACCACCACCTTCTCTGTCACCAACACTGTAATCATATATAATTACTTAATTTGTGAACATACATCTATGTATAATCACTTATGATTATATATATATATATATATATATATATTATATATATATATATATATATATATATATATATATACACACACAAACATAAAAGAGAAGATCGGGTGAGGAAGACTCATTTTAAAGTGAAAACAACTATACATTAAAAAAAATGTATAATCATGTACGTCTCTGGTATATAATTATTTATTCTTAGGCATACGTTGCTGTTGTCGTTATGGTGGAATGTTAAAACGTCAAATGAAAAATGTGTGGTTGATGTTGAATCTCAAAATCTTTATTTTTTTAAAAATCTCAAATGAAACTAATAACTTTTTTTAAAATCTAATATATGAATTTTGTTAGTTGTCCTGATCTTATAAATAAAAACAAAAAATAAGATAATATTTGATTTCTCTTTTATAATACTAACTTATTGATTTCACAAGTACTTCATACATGATCCGACTACTATTAACTTTAAGTAGATCATTACACTAAAACATTCCTTTGTGTAATAAAATTATTTACAAATCTTTAAAATTTGACATATTTTTTTTATTATTTTATGTAGTAACGATTCATATTTTTTAATCTTTTACAAATATATACTATCATTTTATCAAGTTGAATGCATAAATTGATAAAACTCAAAACCAAGTCCAAACAAGAACTCAAGAAATCTTTTTTATGATATAAATTTATCAAAAAGTATAAAATTGCTCCCTAAATAAATGATAAGATATCATTATTACAAAGTGAAAAACAAAATGAAATAACCTAAAATTTTGAAAAATAAAGCAAAAATGTCACTACAAAAAGAATAAAACAAAAATCCATACTTTTACTCATTCACGTTCCAAAATAATCATTTTCATAGTAGTTCATTCTTTTTGTTTAACTCCACTTTTATATACACTTTAATTAATACTAACAAGTAATTGGTATTTGTTAACTCTAAATTCATTTATGATATTTCGAATTATTTTTTTAGTTTTACAATAAGATTGGGAAAAACTATATCAAAAGCAAAAACATCTTATCATCAAATAAATTGTTTAAAAACTATGAATAATAATTCAATTAAACATTACAAATTTGTAATTTATTGACACAAACACAAAGTGCTAGTACATGGATTCATTAGAACACCATAAATAAGTAAATAAATACATTTAAATTAAAATCTAAAACAAAACAAGAACAAAATACAATTCATATTTCTTCTATTCACCGCAACAAGGAAAGCGATCAGAAGCAAATGATATTTGGATCACAGCAACACTCGTCAGCAAAACAACAGCAACACAGAACCGCTAGACTACAAATTAAAACATTATTCCAATTAAAACATCAATCCATAAACCAAATGATAAAATGCATAAAAATTGGTGGAAATAGGAAATATTTTTTTTAAAAGAAAGGCGGGAAATACATACCAGCCTTCAAAGAAACCACGTCGTCGGGGAGGAGGAGGTGCGGCATATTGAGGTGGCGCCATCACCGGCGGTTCTTGATTATAACCTCCTCCTGTTGAAGATGATTGTTAATTGTTTTGTGAATTGGAAGTGAGATGAATAAAGGATGGAGAAATGTGAAGTAGATTCGTACCTTGAGCAGGGTAAGGATAATCATGTTTTGGTTCATTCATGATTTGTTAAAGAGAGCAGGTTGTGTAAGGTGGAGTGATGAAGGTGGGTTGATTATATAGAGGAGTAAATTACACGAATGGTCCATGTGGTTTTGAGTAATTTATGTGTTTGGTCCATAATTTAATTTTTAATCATGGGTGGTTCATATAGTGTGATTTTTTTGTGCCTTTAGTTTATTACAGACTTAAAATGACCATGTTATCCTTATTTATTTTTTTAACTATTTATTTATGAATTAAATATCAAATATAAATATAAATAGACGTCTTCTCCAAGCTTCCATCCATCTTTAACAACCAATCTCTCCCCTCCCTCTTCAATTTGTTGTCCACCATCTCCATCCCGGCCTAATACCCTCTCACACGTCTTATCTGAAACCTAATTCCCTCTCATGGTAACTAAAAATTTAATCGAATGCAATCTGCTTCATCAATCAACTATTCTCATCTATAACCGTTTTCAGCTATATTATTTTTGAAAATAGAATGTGTAGGTTTGCATAAGAAATATAGACGGGAAGGTATTGTTGTAATTTCCAAGTCCATTTTTTTGGTTTTGTTATGGGAAGAAGATTGGTGTTGTATTAAGGGAAAGTAACAAATGATGTCTATTTAATGTAATTTCCAACCCTATTGTTCTAGTTTGGTTATTTCAGATGATTGTTCAAAATAGATGGTGGTTGATGGTTGTGATGGTCGTTGCTGGCAAGAGAAGAGGAGACAAAGTAGATGAAATCGTGAAACTCAAAATTAAATCCCAGATGAAATGTATAACACCAGTGTTTTCTGTTAAAACCTTTTGTAGAATAATCGTTATTTACATTAGTAAATTAATGTAAATATTATCATAAATACATAAATTAAGGATTATTCATATGTTATATGTGTTAAATGAATATTTGGTAATACAACATGACAATCTTAATAGAAATATTATTATTTAAAAAGATTAAATGTATACCGAATACTTACTATTTTGTGTAAATGTATACCCCTTATTGCGATATTATTGCATGAACAGGAAAATGGTATTGGAAGTTGATTACATGTATTATAGTCTGGTCTAGTTATAAACTAATGCCTCTCAAAAACAACTTGGTTCACGGTAAGTTGAATAAGCGAGTAGTTTTATACCGGGTGTGAGTGTGAGATTTGAACAGAGAGTAGATGTAACGTCCCAAAACTCAAAGCCAATTTTTTTGGTTTTTATACTAAATAAAACATCAACCAAATGAGTTTATCAAAACCAAAATGAAATCATAATGTATTTATAATCATCCAAAACACATTAGAGTCAAATAAGTGAAAAGTCATGGTGTGTGCAATGCGATCATCCCGAGCTCTTCCCCTTTGATCTAGAAGCACTTGAAATATAAACTGAAAACCGTATACACAAAGCTTAGTGACTTCCCCGAAATACTACATACCATACATATATGCCAGCTGGAAGGTGTGTCGGGTCAATTTCACCCCCGGGTCTATTTCAACTCATGCGTCGGCCCAAGGCCGTACTGGGTCAATTTCACCCCGGGTCTATTTCACCCTTAAGTCTATTTCAACTCATATGTCAGCACAAGGCTGTACAGGGTCTATTTCACCCACATAGATATAGCAGACAGGAACATAAGCATACAACGCATATAGCAGGATTCACAAAGCCTACAAGCACATAACATATCCTAATGTCCTACAGTATAGTGAGCAAACTCACATCAGTCTATTATCAGTCAAACAGATGATCGGGCTACTGAATTGGAGAATCCCCGCGTTAACCAATCAAATAAAACCCCAATTAATAATTGGGTCACAAACCATAACCGAGAATCTAGTTCATTTGTCCAACACCCAGGGTAAAAGACCATTTTACCCTTCCTTCACTTGGCCCAATACCAAAGGCCCAAACTCAATGGCACTAAAAGCCCAATAATGGTCCAATTCCTAAAGGACACCCAAATCCCAATATAGGCCCAAATCCAGGAAGGCCCAAAGCCTAACAATGGCCAAAAGTCAGAAAGGCTAGTGGCCTAACAAAGCCCAAAACCCTAATAGTCCAAATATGGTCTTAACCACAAAAGCCCTTGACCAGGCCTAGTACACTACACATACCAGAAGTACACCCAACGTAATGGATGGCTTGTCTGATCGGGGACTCGAACACGTATGTGCAGCATACGCTTGGGTACGCCCAGTACACACACCTATTAAGCAACTTTTCATATTAAGCACTTAATGCTTATAAATAGACGTCCAAACATCAGATCCAAGCCTTGGGGAACATCTTAATCCATAAAGTCACTAACTTGGAGCCTTTGCATGGCTCAAAAGAACTCAAAACGTAGATCTAGCATCCTACTTTCACCAAATGGACATGAACACATGCATGGTTGATCCTCAACCATCAAGATGCTAACTTTATGGACTAGGGACCTCAGAGACAGCAAGAGAAGCAACTCCAAACATCTGGAATGGAAAAATCCCACTAGATCTTATTCATGGGAGCAAAAGTGACCAAAACTCCATAATAACTCAATCTAAGCATATAATGATCAAGTTCCAAGATTTATACCTCAATGAAGCTGGAAATGATGAGTGGAATCTGGATCTACAAGCTCTCCCTTGATCAAAGCTCCTTTCTTCAAGTTTCTTCTTCATCAAGGTTCACCAAAACATACTAAAACACACACAAAGAGGTCAAATCTTCTCTAGATGGGTTAGGGTTTCGAAATGAGGCTCAAACGATAATGGAGGCTGGAAAATAAGAGGATCAAGGGTCATAATGTTGTTTAAATAGGGTCCAGACCCTAAAATTAAGGTCCGTCTCCTGATTGCGTACACCTGACGTACTCCCAATTTTCCGAAAATGGCAACAATCCCCCCTAGGGACCAAAATTGAAAACTATTTACACACTAAGGGTCAAAATGAAAAGTACCTTGAATCGGGTGTTACAATTCTTCCCCACTTGAATTATATTTAGTCCTTGGAGTCCGCTGCCGCACATAACTCCGAGTAATGCTCCCTTATCTCGTCCTCATTCTCCCATGTCCATTCAAAACCCTTTCGGTACTGCCACTACACCTTCACCAGATCCACCACCTTGTTTCGTAGAGTCTTCGTCCTCCTGTCAAGGATCGTGACTGGTCTCTCTATACAATTCAGGCGATCATCCACCTGAATGTCCTCCAATGGAACCATTGTAGAATCGTTAACCAAGCACTTCCGCAACTGAGAGACATGAAAAGTGCTATGAATCTGACTAAGCTCTTATGGCAGATCTAAACGATACACCGCCCTGTCCACCCGGGCTAAAACCCTGAAAGGACCAATATACCTAGGGCCCAACTTACCCCACTTCCTGAACCGGATGACACCTTTCCAAAGTGACACCTTCAGGAGTACCATATCTCCAATATGAACTTCCAAGTCTGACCAACGTGTGTCTGTGTAGCTCTTCTGTCGACTATGTGTTGTCTAAAGTCTGCCAAAGACCTGTTGAGTCAATTCCGTCGTCTTAAGTACCACCTCGATACTCCCCATGATCCGCTAACCGACCACTACCCAACATATCGGGGTCCTACACTTCCTCCCGTAGAGCATCTCAAAAGGAGATCAATCAATGTTGGCATGAAAACTGTTATTATACAAAATTTCAGCCAAAGGAAGATACGTAACCCAACTACCGCCAAAATCCAGAAAACATTTCTGTAGCATATCTTCCAAACATTGGATAGTCCGCTCACTCTGAACATCAATATGTGGGTGAGAAGTCATGCTGAAATGAAGAAGAGTACCCAACTCCTCATGCAACCTCTTCCAGAACCTGGAAGTAAATCGGACATCCCTATAAGAGACCATAGAAACCGGCACCCCATGCCATGCCACCACCTGCTGAATGTAGACATTGGCCGGCTTCTCCGTCGAAATACTCTCCTAAATTGGAATGAAATGCGTGCTCTTGGTCGATTGATCTACGATAACCCATATCAAATCCACTATGCACGTCGTCTGTGGTAACTTTGTGATGAAATCCATCGTAATCACTTCTCATTTCCAAACGAGAACTCCCAACGACTCTATTTTTCCATGAGGTCGTTAATGCTCGGATTTGAATTTCATGCAAGACAAGCCCCTCTCCACATACCAGGCCATATCTTGCTTCATGCATGGCCACCTACAGTCGAGCCGGAGATCTCTATACATCTTTTGTTGCTCCGAGATGAGAGAATCTCGACTTGTGCGCCCCCTCCATAAAATTCTGATGCACACCACCCCAATATGGAACCCACACCCTTCGATGAAGGGTCAATAATACCTGGATATCATAATCAAAGGAAGCCACCTGACCCACTATGCGCTCGCTCTTCCGGTGATCTTTCTTCATAACCTCAACCTGAGCCACCCAAATCTGCTCTAAGAGTGGGGTAATCACTGTCTGTAACGCCCGCAGATCTGGGCTAGTCAATTTAGAAATAATAGGGGTCGAAAACGACTTTTCGACATAAGATTATTTAGAATAAATAATCTTAACCAAGTTGTAGAATATGTCTCAAGGGTTCCGTACATATAAAGAACGCCGAAATTCGAGTTATAACGAAGAAGTTATGGCTCGTCGAAGTTTTCGGCAAAACCGGCACGACACCGGGAGACGTAAATAGTGAATTTAAGATAGAGGACTTTTTGGCCTTAGTAATCTAAACCAAAGTTGTAGTATATGTTAAACCGAGAAAATCCATAAAAAGAACGCCCAAATCTGACTTCGTATGAGGAAGTTATGATTTTTCGAAGTTTCGGCTTAGCAGTGTACAGCCCGAAACTCGAATTTTAGATCGAGCGGTTTTTGGTCTACACGACCTAAAGGAGAATTGAAGATCTCATTAATAGGAAGTCAACGGTAAAAAGACAGACGAAAACGGAGTCCGTATGTAGAAGTTATGAGTTTTACGCGGACATTTAACAGTATAATCTCCTCGTACTGTTAAATTTAAGATCGGTCGAGAATTAGCCGACGGAGTCAAAATGAAAGTTGTA